CGCACACACACACACACGCGCGCGCGCGCGCGCGCACACACACTTATACACGCGTGCGCACACACGCGCACACACACACACGCGCGCACCCGCGTGCGCGCGCACACACACACAAAAAAGGGGAAATTTTCTAACCTAACATGTAACATGCACTACAGAACTCACCAGGAAGATAGCGGGCAGCGTGCTCAGACCTCTGCTCTGTCACTCACTTGTGACTCTCAAATCTCCCCTTCCACCTTCTTTGACGAGACAGACAGAAATGTCAATCTTTCCGTCTGCCTACTTTGACGAAAATGTCAATCTTTCCTTCCACCTTCTTTGACGAAACAGACAGAAATGTCAATATTTCCTTCTCCCTTCTTTGACGAAACAGATAATATAATGTCAATCTTTCCTTCCACCTTCTTTGATGAAACAGACAGAAATGTCAATCTTTCCTTCCACCTTCTTTGATGAAACAGACAGAAATGCCAATCTTTCCTTCCACCTTCTTTGACGAAACAGACAGAAATGTCAATCCTTCCTTCCACCTTCTTTGATGAAAAAGATAGAAATAATGTCAATCCTTCCTTCCACCTTCTTTGATGAAAAAGATAGAAATAATGTCAATCTTTCCTTCCACCTTCTTTGACGAAACAGACAGAAATAATGTCCCAATTTTCTTGCCGCCAAAACGTAGCAGGTAAAAATGCAAGTGAACGCATCAGATCCCCGCTCCAGGAGGTCTGGTCTGTGGCAGTTTGTTTGCCGGGGGGAAAAAACAACAATTTCTTTATTTCGAGCATTAATTGCCCTTAGAATGGTTCCGTTTTGTCTATTTTTATATTCTCCTGGTGCAGACTTTGTGGGTGCAGAGACAAGCAGGAACAGAAAAAGTCAATGGAGAGGTTTCCTCTTTCAATGTGATGTCACGTTGACCTCTGCGCACCAATAGATCTACAGCTATATTATATCCCGTTCTTGACACATTCTCCTTTAGTTTTCGTAAGAGTTTTACGGCACTTGCAACACCCCAAGCAGGAGGTTTTGTGTCGACACCACTGAAGAAGGACGCTCTCTGTATGCACAAAAGCAAGTGGAGTCATCGAGGACAGTTCTTGGAGTCGTCAGCAACCC